CTTGGAAGCCGTCACACAGTTTACCTATCTCGGCTCCACCACCTCAAACAACAACTGCCTTGAAGTGGAGATTGGAAAGAGAATTGGCAAGGCTGCAACCAACATGGCTAAGCTGTCTGCCCGTGTCTGGGAGAACAAGCTAATTACCCAAACTAAAGTTGCTGTTTATCGTGCCTGCATCGTGAGCACCTTATTGTTTGGTAGCGAGTCTTGGACTACCTACGCTAGTCAGGAGAAGGGCTTGAACATCTTCCATATGAGATGTCTTCGTCGCATCCTCTCCGTCTCATGGACAGATAATGTCTCTAACAATGAGGTACTTGCAAGAGCCAATATACCCTCGATGTTCACCCTGCTAAGACAGCGCAGATTGAGGTGGCTCGGTCATGTGTACCGAATGGAGGATGGGCGAATCCCTAAAGATCTGCTGTATGGCGAGTTGGAATCCGGTCCGAGGCCTATTGGCAGACCTAAGCTGCGTTTCAAGGACGTATGCAAGAGCGATATGCTCGCCACTGGCCTGCCAACAGATAACTGGGAGCTACATGCTGCCGATCGGAGTGATTAGAGGTCTGTGTGCAGTCTGGCACTCCAGGCGAGAGAGGAAAGGCTGAAAGCTGAAGCCGATGATAGAACAGCTAAGAGAAGAGCAGCAATGAACAAAGCAACGTGTGTTCCAGTGGCATGTGTCTTCGTGTGCAGTGGATGCGGCCGTGTCTGCCGTTCTAGAAGTGGGCTTTTCAGCCCCGAGAGAAAGTGTTTGTCGCAATTGCGCTAGTCATGGACATAGTCCGACGACTGCCTACCTACCTAGAATAAACATTTGCCTTGCAAATGCTACAAATTTCTGTGATATCTGGCATTATTTGATTTCCCTATCAGTAAAATCGCTGTAACTGAAAGACTCATAACCTGCATCAAATTTTTCCTGCAGCCACAACTTAAATGTCTTTTCTTCCACTTAAATACGCTTATGGTTTCTCAGTCACGCTTTCTTGTATTCCCCTCTGTCTTCAACCTTTTTCCACCTTGAGTTAATGCGTTTACCGCCATGTCCGGATCCTCCGCTAGACGCCATTTTGAAGTTTTGAGTGCAACTTGAAAAAGTCAGGATGACTTTTTCAAGTTTCGATCAGTTACGCGAGCATGCGCAGACCGTGAGCGTGTCCCCTTAAAGTTCGGACCACAATGAATCTTTTCAAAACATAACCAGAAATATTTTAGTCTTCTACAATCGTTTCATATGGTCGACCAAATCGGTCGAATGCAAAATATTTAGATGAGGCCGTTCGGCCACCTCACTAACGCAACTAAAGCCTGGTTCTGAAAGGTTGCCATCTCGACCGAGAATACAAACGCCACAAACGCCCGCTCCACCGAAATTAACATTCCTTTCCCAATCCTAGCCAATCACATTGTACTTTCCAAATTATGGAAAGTGGACCTTGACCGCAAGGTAAACTGATATTTTCTCAGTCTGCATGAAAAAGTGTGAAAGCTTTCTGACCTCTAATAAATGTAAGATTCAGAGCAGCAAAAGTAAGGTTTAGTCAAATTTTAGAATACTCCGTGCACTGCATAATCTTAGCGAAGGAAATCAAAGAAGGAAACGGTTACTCTGGGCCGTCTAGGGTCACGTTTTAGTCGTGTACGGTTACTCAAGCGTCACGTTTTAGTNCATTGAAGTTAACAATGTTTTAGCGACTTAACGCCGAACCAAGCTCGTCGGTCAATTACAACGCCTGATTTTAACAGCTACTCATCGATTCAGAGTGCAAAAGATTCTCAAAATAGGCCCAATCTAACAAAGCTCTCCGTAAACACTAATTAATGTAACAATTCACGTAACATTCCAGAGCAAATCTAAATTAGATTTTTGCAAAATCTTGACATTCCTTCGTGCACTAGCCTTAGTTCAGCCACCGTTTATTCCAAACTCTCTTATCAAAGACTTCCCGTATCCTGTACGAAGGTTAACGAACATATTAATTTGCACTAAAAAACCTTATTGCCTCCTTTTGCTCCGGCAAAAGACTCTCGATTTCAAAGTACCATTTGACTTCAGAAAACGCTTTTTGCCATAGCTCTTGCTTGAATTCAGCACCCGACGAGTTGGACGTTATGTTGAATTTGACATGAAACATTAAACTAGAACCTTTGGCCAATTAGGAGTAGCGTTAGAACTACCAATCACCAACGGTCACAAAATCCTATGCAGGGGGTCTTTACACAAGCTTTTGTGCACAGATGCGCAGATGGTTATTACAGGTAATATAATTGGATGTACGCAGGCTATTTCACAAATGTCACTTTCCACGCAAATAAAACAATGGTAAAGGAATGTTGTTTTCGATTGAAACTGTCTATTTTGCGCGAAATAATTTGGTTGAAAAGTAAGAGTAAAAAGGTAAGATAAAATACTACTAAAAGTAAGATAAAATGTAACTCGCCCTATTTAGCGTTCATTTTACCAATCCATGTTTTACTAATCCATGTTTTCTACTCCATGTTTTACTAATCCATGCTTTACTAATCCATGTTTTACTAATCCATGTTTTACTACTCCATGTTTTACTAATCCATGTTTTACTAATCCATGTTTTACTAATCCATGTCTTACTAATACATGTTTTACTAATCCATGTTCTACTAATCCATGTTTTACTAATCCATGTTTTACTAATCCATGTTTTACTAATCCAGTCCATGTTTCACTAATCCAGTCCAGTCCATATTTTACTAGGTGCCAGAATCACATTACCTTAGCTAGCCATTCTTCTTGTGACGGCGTGCCTGGCATACCTGGAATAAACATCGATATTCCTTTCATAAATCAAATGCATATCATATGAAAAAATAAGCTTGTTCCCGCACAGTTCTAAACTAAGGACTAGTACTTTCGGGTAACGAGTTCGTACAAAATGTCTTTATTTATACACTTTCACCAGAGTGTGGTGAGGGTCGCACAGCAGAGCGAGGCTCCAAATTAAGTGCGCCCAATATCCCCCCCATCCCACCCCAGGGGAGGACATCCATCACACAGTAATCTCGTGTGTGGGAAATTAACGTCTCCTACCCCAACCCTGCAGGAGACGGGACCTCCATTTATTCGTCCCTATCCGAGAAGACTAGAATATCTAACCATTTCTTGATGTTATAGAAAGGTAGCAAATTCTTCTCAATTATTTTAAGACCCTGAGTGTTGGTCCGGCCGGGGCTCGAACCCTCGACCTCCCGCACAACAGTCCAGCGCTCTATCCATTGAGCTAACCGGGAGGCGGTTAATCAAATTCTATGGAAATGTTTATATGCTGCTGGTGTTTTGTAGATGCAGTCTGATAATATAGGATAGCTATTGAATCCCTGCATAGGCCTTGATTTTGTTCCAGACATAAAGTATTCAAAGTATTGGGTCTTTTTACAGGAACACAGATTAAGTTGAATTCTTTGTTAGAACCCCACGGAGATGACCTTGGTTAAATGGCTTTTTTCGAGTTTCTGGTAACTTTGCCCAAATTGAATTTAGGCTCATTTATAATACATTCCTTACTTTAATTGATCTCCATAAATGAACATTCTGTTTACAACTACGAACTTACAACAAAGTTATGTGTTGGAACTCTCCTTTGTAAAAAACATTAGAAGTGGTTTTGAAACGCTGAAAACCGTTTCATGTACATAACTGAGAATTCTGCTACTTTTGAAAGTTAGGAAGGTATTCTTTATGATCGGCTATAAAAGTCAAAGTGAGTTACCTGTGCACCACTTGATCTCACGTTTTGTTACAACTCCTTCAAGGTACTGAGCTGGTGGTGCGATGGGGTAGTGGCCGTAAAGGAACAGGTGGTATTCTAAGGTGGGGAGGGGGGGGGAAAAGGGGCTTCTAATGTCTTAAGTGGCAAGGGGTCTCCTTGGCCGCAGCTCACCTCCGTGCACCTTAACTCGAGGACAAAGGAGAGGAAGGAAGCACGATAACCTGGACTACATTGTATTGCCCCCTGAAAATCTCTTTAGTGCCCTAAGATAACCTTGGTGGAGGAGCGTCTTTGAGTTTGTTGCCAATTTTTCTAATTTTCATGTTCTTTACTGACAAGGGAAGCGGATAAGATGAAAGATAAACCTCTCCCAAAAAAAATTGATGTTTTCTTTCTTAATGTTACCAAGTTAGAAATACCATGTTGAAATAAACTCAAGCTACAAATGTACATGTTTGCTATTAATACTAGGTTCAAGTAAATTTNTCATATGTTTCATATGTTTGTTGTTGTTTGATTTATCATCTACGGGTTTATGTCGAATTAATTTGATGGCCTGCTCCCAGTTGGCTTGTTAGCTCAATTGGTAGAGCGCTGCACTAGTATCGCAGAGGTCAGTGGTTCGAATCCCGTACAGGCCTGAAATTTTTTTCAGGTCTGATTTTCACTATTGCTCAAATAGTGCTTTACTGCGAAGGATCGTGCTCATATACGTCTCATAACCGCAGTTCACTCATATGTTTCATATGTTTGTTGTTGTTTGATTTATCATCTACGGGTTTATGTCGAATTAATTTGATGGCCTGCTCCCAGTTGGCTTGTTAGCTCAATTGGTAGAGCGCTGCACTAGTATCGCAGAGGTCAGTGGTTCGAATCCCGTACAGGCCTGAAATTTTTTTCAGGTCTGATTTTCACTATTGCTCAAATAGTGCTTTACTGCGAAGGATCGTGCTCATATACGTCTCATAACCGCAGTTCACACATATGTTTCATATGTTTGTTGTTGTTTGATTTATCATCTACGGGTTTATGTCGAATTAATTTGATGGCCTGCTCCCAGTTGGCTTGTTAGCTCAATTGGTAGAGCGCTGCACTAGTATCGCAGAGGTCAGTGGTTCGAATCCCGTACAGGCCTGAAATTTTTTTCAGGTCTGATTTTCACTATTGCTCAAATAGTGCTTTACTGCGAAGGATCGTGCTCATATACGTCTCATAACCGCAGTTCACACATATGTTTCATATGTTTGTTGTTGTTTGATTTATCATCTACGGGTTTATGTCGAATTAATTTGATGGCCTGCTCCCAGTTGGCTTGTTAGCTCAATTGGTAGAGCGCTGCACTAGTATCGCAGAGGTCAGTGGTTCGAATCCCGTACAGGCCTGAAATTTTTTTCAGGTCTGATTTTCACTATTGCTCAAATAGTGCTTTACTGCGAAGGATCGTGCTCATATACGTCTCATAACCGCAGTTCACTCATATGTTTCATATGTTTGTTGTTGTTTAATCTTCGTATTCTTCTCGAATGCAGTATGCAACTGAAGTTCACAATATGTAACTAGCAGTCAAAGATGACGTGACAAATAACTATCAATCTCAGTGTCATATCACAAAGGCTGGAACGGTTTTTTATCCTCTTAAACTTTTATGAAATGCCTGAGAACTGAACCGTCTTTAAGGCTGAACTTACCAACTTGTTTTCAAAAGGAACCTTGAGAATAATTTACCAAATAATATGCAAGTTTTCAAAAATCAAAAGAAAGCCTATTATCTAAGTTGTATTGTTATACGTCTTTTAGCAGTAAAGACCAGCTGGAAGAGTTACAGTACGATGTGGATAACGCAATTCCTGATATTGATAGATGGAAAGCGCATATCCTCAGGGCGGCTCACCAGAACACTGCATAAAGTGCGGTTATCGAGAACCTGGCTTATAACCAAGTACTTATCACTATGGATTGGGCTATGAAATTTCTCCCAATCGTTTACTGGGAAACACAACGATATTGGTTTGGGAAGAAAGGAAAGTCATGGCATGTTTCTGTTGCTGTCAAAAAGGGGGATGACGGAGAAATTAAGGTAGAGTTTCAGTTGTGTCTGGGCGTAATTTAACTAAGATCGACGTCTAGTGAAAAGAAAACTCATAACTGATTTATGATTAGTGTTCATCACGCCAGCGCAACAGAAGGAGTGATAAACTAATCTAGTGGTCATCATACTAACTTAGATCAACGCAATAACGTGAAAGCGATGCCGCAACCAAGATTCTTGCAAACGTTAAATCTGTGAAGAAGACATTGGCCAGAAAAAGTTGATTTACACATTGTACGCAATTTCTGGAGGTAAAAATGTTGGGTAAACCGAAAACGCAAGTACATGCTTTCAACAAATTCCCTGTTGCGTAGGTTCTTTCATAATATAGAGCTTTACCTCAACATTAGCTGTAAGCCTAATGGTGACAATACAAATTAGGTAATACAATCCCGTTTTTTCTCTAGACAAGAAGCTATATCCATCTTTTCGACAAATGCACCCAAAACTGGTTTGCAGTGGCATCAGTATTGGAAAGTACGCTTGTGGCCTTAAAGGCTAGTTATTCTAACCTCAGTGAAGCTTTCTTGCGATCCGATAACGCTGGATGCTACCACAATGCGCATCTTATTCTGTCATTGCCAAGTCTTGGTGAGCGTGTCGGAATCAGAATCTTGCGCTATGACTTTAGCGATCCCCAAGCCGGCAAAGATGTTTGTGACCGCCGTATAGCCACTCTTAAAAGTCACATGCGGCGATTTATAAATGAGGGAATTGTCAGGTCGCGTCTATCCATTGAGCTAACCGGGAGGTTATATTTGTTCGGCTATATATATTTGTTATGTCTATGCATTAAGGACTAAAGACAGCCTACCGTCTTTCATTAAGGTCCAATTGTCGTCCATCTGCATACCAGCTTGATTGAAATACCGACCATCAGTCCACATTCCAGCTTTGTTCATTGTTACCACTGCATCACCTACGAGTGACATATGATAGAATTAAGAGACAGAGACTATCATTTGCCTCGCTCTCAACATGAGGCAACGTAACTCAGTCAGTGGTATTACCCAACAAGCCAAGGATGCACGGGACCGAATACCGTCGATGAGTGAATTTTTTCCACGTTCTTTTCTGCAACTTATTGTAGGCAGCTCAGCTGCAAGCATCATGTCTTTACTTGTATACCATCCGCTGGCCAAAAGAATTATTTATTACTTTTAAGTGTGATCAAAGATAGACTTTTAAAAACACTCCGATTTATTTGCGGTTTGTAATTACTTCTTAGATGGAAAAGTAATATATTTCTAGACATAGCCTGTACGTTTTGGAGCCGAAAATTAATATATTTTAGTAACAACCAAAGACAAATTATATCACTATTTTCTGAAGCACCTCAGCGGGCAGAAATCTTTAATCCTCTGATCGGCTAAAGGCGCACTCGAAACTGGTCCAACTTTTCTTTTACTACGGTCCACAGTCCGGATTTTTTTTTCGCGCCACTAGTGCCAAAGCAGGGATAGGAAACACGATATTTACTAGAGATTATAAACTGAGCCAGTTTATTATCTCTTGATCCTATATAATGGTGCGTTACTAGTACTTGCCGGCAGAGCCTGTGAACCCGGATATGTATGGACGTCGTTCAAAGTGACCAGCAACATATTCACTCTGAAATAAATAAAGGAGAGAACATGTGTTGCACTACCTGTGTCTGCAAAAGGTGACGTAGTCACAACACAGGCGTAAAGTTACAAGTTAAATCACTCACCATGTGTTGGTCAACAGAGGGGATAATGTACGCCTGTATGCCCTCAGCCCTCATCTTCTCTCGCAGCTGCTTCAGACGTTCAGTTGTATTCACTTTGGGCAGAGCTGGGGACGAAGCCTGAAATTGAAAGATAGTCGCAAAGTAAAGCTGCGTTAGTGGATAAATACAGTCGTGTTTTGTATTTTCAGTTAAGCGTTGAAAGAAAGAAACTCAGAAACAACCTTGTATTTATCTCGTGTTTACCAAACACGCTTTTCATTCTCGTCAGAGTTAGATAGAAAATAACCAAAATTTTCTCTCGAAGTCTTCCCCTTGGGCGTTAAGCAATGCTCCCATTCAAACTTGAAAAAAACGGGGCGGGGGGTAGACAGGGAGAGCGTTGCATGAGGGAACGGCAGCTAAGGTAACAAGAGATCATTCCACACCACTGACAATAAATAAAAAAATGTCGGGCTGCGCTCTAACCCCCGATGAAGACGGGGTGGTAATATGAAGTATTCCCGTCATCCACTATGTATTCGAATGATTCTCTTCGCTTATCATCAGGAAAAAAGAGCCCCTTTCCTTATAACGATAAAATTATTGAAGATCAAAAGTTAATGAAGGCATGTTACACTTAGCTTACTAATTAAGACTGATAAGCGAAGTCACGGAAACTGTCGTTTGAACACCACCAACGCTAGAAAGAGTTCACAGTTTTTTTTACATATTTTGCGAGGAACAAATTGCCAAGGTGACCTTCGCAGTTTCCAAATTTTGGCTGTGCATCAAACTAATACACTCCAATCAAAACTTTGCTGAAGGGCCGATACGTTAATCACAAACCTATCTTGCTCTTTGGAGCTAATTAGTAGGCAAGAAAGAATCGTACTTTCGCTGCCTTCGGGCTTTTTCTTTTTAATTTTGTTCTTCAGCCCCAGAAAAATACCATAACAAATGGTGCGCTAGCTTTACTAGCGAAAGTGTCAGCTTATAGATCACATATTTCCCGTTTGTAATTTTACTCAGACACTAAATGCGTCCTCCACAATGTGACAGTCACATTAAAAAGAAAAAAAAAGAAAAACAGAAAGGAACACGCAAAATGTTGGCAATTTTTAAACTGGGGTCGCACTTATCTTCCGCTACCTGTTGACAGATTTAAAAATTGCCAACCGGCCTTAGGATTCACCGTATATTAGAAAACAGATGTATGTTGCAAGTGATTGAAGATCAAATGACCTGTCTATCTGTGTTGTTTTTGTTTGCCCCTCTTTGCCTTCTTTACAGTTCTATTTACATCGTGAAACAATTTCTCAGTTGTTATGTTTGGTTTTTACCTAAAGGCCTCACAATGGTCGCGACCAGCAACTGCTCTGCTGCTGTCAAAATGTGACTCGACGAACAAAAGAGAGGCATGAGTTCATTTTAATATATTGCATGAATTTACAAAGGACAGAAACACGAACCTCTTAAATAACCTTTGGGCTCCCTATTTCTATTCAAGCGATACTAATGCTAACCAAAGCCTCAAGGCGCACGCATGAAAGAAAGTAACAAATATCTTATCAACTAGTTTTAGTTCTTTCTGAAACCTCCCCTTCACTAAAAAGATTGTGACACCTTAACCATACCTTCATTGCCACAGTATTGTTTCGATGTAGAACCCAGCCCGGCCGGCGTGCAAAGGAAAGAGATGAGTAGGGAATAATCAGTACGATCGCGACGCACAAACGTTAGGATCTCAACGTTTGCGCGTAGAGCTCGCATTTGAATATCTCTACTTTCTTTATCCCCTTTCCGGCCTTGAA